TTCCGGATCCGGAATACACTTATTGGAATATTAATTAGGTTTGGATTATATATTTCAGACCTATTAATAGTACAGGTAGGCTTCTTTTTATGATTGGTCAACAAATCAGTATTAGCTGTAATTATGCCTGTAAAAAGTAAAAGATGAGGAATATAATTTTTAATGGTAATTAAGTTTTTTTTTTCTCTTTTAGGGAGAGTTAAAAAAGTGAATCAGAAAATTGTCTCCCAATATTTTCAGGCAACTTTTATCGATTTTTTTCTTTGATATTTTTGATTTAATTGATGAATGCATAATTTGATAAACTAGAAATCTGTTTTTTAATTAAATAATCTTGTCAAGGTAATTAAGGTAATCGACAAAAGTGGAAGGCTTTTTTTTTTTTTTGATTCATTCATTTCTTTCTTTCTCTCTTTTTCTCTCTCTCTCTCTCTCTCCGGATATTGATTGGTAATTTTCTTCCACAGCTTTTTCATATATTAATGCATAAGTAAATTGAAAGTATAACTTTGTGAAATTTACAAAAATAATTTGCCTATAAAATTTTTCATCGTTTTAATTTCATTATTGCCAAAAATGAAATTTAAATTGATAAAATGATGTGAAAATTTTGATGAAATTAAAAAGCCAAGAGATAATGCGAATTTTAAACTTTCACATCGATGGAATGTATAATTTTAGAAGGATATAATGTATAACTGCGAAATTGTTTGTCATATAATTGACAATGGTATTCATAATAGCGCTGACAACAATGGAACAAAATTCCTGTTTTCGCACATATTTCTCTCCAATGAACCTCATATCTGCTAATTATGCCATGGGAAATTTAGTTTTTAAATTTAAATTTAAAAAAAAAGCTACTCTCACCAGTTTATACAAAATTTTGAAAAAAAAAAAAGAAAGAAGCATGATCATCATTTTTCATTCACATTTGTTGTTACGCCACGAAAGAAATGTCTTTGGAAACATTGCTAAACATTGGTCAATCAAAAATTGACCTACCCCTAAGCAATACTAATTAGCAAGTGAAAATTATCAATCAATCACAAAAATACGCTATTATTTTGAATTGTGTTACTTAAATACCAAAAAGAAATAATGATTAATAATATTATCAGTTCTCTGAAAACTGATAATACTATTAATCATTATTTTTCTCGAGTTAACTTTATTATTTTTATTAGTTTTTTATTGATTTTTTTTCAGAGTTTACGTTTACGTTCGTTCATACGTAGTATACACTACTAATGTTAATGTTAATAATTATTTACGTGAACAATTCCCAAGTATTATATAATATGAAAATTATATAATACTTGTAATGAATTAAATTTAATATCATATAGGTTTCTCGTATAATATTAAATTTATTTTTTATTCCTCTTTCGAATATTTTCATAAAAATAATTTAACAAACACTAAAAAAAATGTTATTTAAATTTGTTTTTTTTTTCTTTTCGAATAAAAATTATGCGGTTATCATGCGGAACTCTTTTTTTCCTCAGCACATTTATCAGTTTTGGTAGTTAGTTAAGTTGACAGTTACTGAAGAAATGAGTGAAAAAAAATTCGGATATGAACAAATTAAAATAATCAATGGATGATTATTTAGAGATTGTTGAATCAATCTTTTATCTCTGATAAAATTGGTCTGTTCTTAATTTCAGATCATGCATTTCAATAAATTTTATTAGATTAATCTAACTATTACTGAACTGATTATTCCATGTTGGTTGTTTTGTAAGATAATTGATTATTTTTTCATACATTTTTGTTCATTTCTATCTTAACTATACTTTATTTACAGTTATCATCGACACCTTTATCTGTCATATTTTAATTAGTAATGAATATTTGCTAATATTATCTTACCTTTACATTGTTCGTTTTTCAATTTTACATTTGCATGTGAATATTTTAAAGAAACAATTTATTGAATTTTCATAGCACGAAGACTTAAACGAGCGCCATCGAAATCTCCCAATTTCTCAAATAATTTTTTATCAACGAAAAGAGTTGATAGCAATAAAGCGTATTGTGTAGAGCAGCAAGCTCAATTATCACCACCACCATTACCTCGTATTCCACCACCTCAGCTACTGAATCAAAAGTTTATCATTGGAAACGATAATATTCTCGGTAAGTTATTTGAGAGAATTTTGATATATGAAAGTGAGTGGAAAAATGAGAATGTAAAAATGATGTATCGACGAAGTTATATCCTAAAATCTGGAAGATTTCAAAATTTAAAAAGAAAAAAAAAACTTCGAAATTAGCAAAAAGATTAAGGATAAGGACTGATTTTTTTTTTAATTTAAGATAAAATGATCACTAAAATGAATTTTGCTTTTCCTTATTATCAAAAAATAAAATAGCTAATGATTATTTATTAGGTGTAACAACACAACGTCAGTGGACAACGAAAAACTCATCTTCAATTGATAACGATAGCAAAAATAAAAGTGTCATGTCGGCAAAAGTAGAAACAACAGTGCGACAGTGGTCGACACCAATCGAAAAAGTCGTGGAAGGTCAACCACCGAGACCTGTGAGTCATCGATTTAGATTACTTTATTTTTGTGACAAATTTAAATTAAATTTTTTGATTAACATTGAGCAGAAATCAATGATAAAAGGTTAAGTGAATAATGTCAGAAATTAGATTGTTAATTTAAATACATTCATTCCATTGCATTTAATCTTATATTAGTTTTTAAAACCAATTACTTAGTCCATAAACTTATGACAAATATTTGCTATGAAAGATGGAAACTAAACAACATATTCTAGATTAATAGATTTGAAAGTTATTTAAATTAAGATATGCATTTGTTAATTAATTATGTACAAACATTTCAAACTAACCGCATAAATCAATGCATAATTCGTTCTAAAATAATTTTATATGATAACTAAAACTGATTTTTTATCAGTTATTTGATATATTCAAAAAATACATTTGATCAAAAGTAATCATAAATTGTTATTCTGCTAATTTTTAATGCTTTAATATAGCCATAATTAACATTTTCGTCATTTATATTTGATAAGATTTATTAATTCTAAAAATATTATCAAATATGAGGATATTTTAGAGATTTAATTATATTAAATCCTTTAAAATCAATCAACCATCTGTTCCTCTAGCCAGATGTCTGATGATGGAAAGGAAAAAAAAATGCTATTCAAATATCTTTTCATTTTAAATTTGAACAGTACGGTTTTTAATATAATTGCAGTTTCGTTCCCACCGATTGTTCACATCGTTTGTCTTTCTTTATTTTTTTTACTATTTTCAATTTAATATTTCTAGATTTAATCTCAAATTTAAGTTTTATTATATTCTTTTCGAATGCATTTTTTCATACATTTCAAATTATTTAAATTATAGAAATTTATTGTTAAATTTATTGGTCAAATATTAAATTTAGTTAATGATGCCGATCATACTGAAATAATCAATAAATTAAATGGTATCTTTTTTTGGTAATTTAATATTAACCAATAAATTCAGCAATAACTTTCTGTAATTTAAATAATTTTAAACATATGAAAAGAAGCCTCAGTTATGAAAATATCATCGTACCGTTTCGATGTAAATTGAAGATCGAAGCGGATTAGTGAGCAAGAATTTTAAAGCTAATTTTTCTTCAGTCAACTGTAAAAATGATTCAGTCATTGAAATTTAAATTTTGATGCTGATCAGTGATGAGTATTTCTTTCTTCTCTCCTATCCATAACTTTATTTCATATGTTTCATCGAAAGATATAATTCTATTTTAATTGTTTTTAATCTGATCTTCAATCATTTTGTATCGTTTATTGTGATGCTTTTATTTTTTCTAACCTTTTTTAATTGTATTTCATTTTCATCGATCTTTTTCATTCCTTCTATTGTTATTTTTTACTCAAATACTAATGGTAGCAGTAATGAAAGCTGCTTGAAATCACATGTTATCTTCAACTTTTGATATCTCCTTGCTTATTTCAAACCAACCATTTCTTCCTTCAAACTTTAACCTCTCGATCCTGTACAGGAAGTATGCTATTCCGGAAATTTTGCAACTTGTAACACAAACGTTATTTATAAGTTTTGAATATGTTGAAAAGAAAAA